GATTTCGTCCGACTGAATTCTCCGACCTCGGAGGTCTATGAGGAAATGAGAGGCTGATCGAACTGAGGTAGTCGAATTGCCTTGGAGGAACTTCAGTTTTGAGTAGATCCACCTGGCCAAATTGTAGGTGGGGCTGCCTTTTAGGGCAACGATTGGCCGAAGTGGGACATTCGCTTTATGGATTTTTGGCAGACCATAGAATCGGGCTAGAGCGGTGTCAGTTGCCCTCATTTGGTGCCATTAATTCTCCGTGATCACATTTTTCTGTCGGTATTCTCAAAGCAGTTTACTCAGCCGATCTGCCACTGCTTTGGCTTGTGACTTCTGTGCTGGTCTGTAAAATTCTCTGTCATCAAGAAGGGCTTATGCCTTTTCATTATAGTCTTCTCTATTCATCACGACGGTTGATCGTCCCTTGTCAGCAGGTAGAATGATAATGCTGTCGTCCCTCCTCAGTTCCCTCATAGCCTTTGACTCACTGTGCGAAATACATTTGGTTGGTCTGTGCTATGCTTGTAAGAAGTGAAACATCCGACGACATGAAACACTCCTGATAGAAGCGAACAGGCGAGTCCCAGGTAGCAGTTCAGAAGATGAAGATGCGATCACTGGAACAAGAAATTTATTTGCCTGACGTTTCAAATTCTCACTCGAATCCATCATCAGATGCATGCGAATGTCAAAAGGCAGCCCCACCTACAATTTGGCCAGGTGGATCTACTCAAAACTGAAGTTCCTCCAAGGCAATTCGACTACCTCAGTTCGATCAGCCTCTCATTTCCTCATAGACCTCCGAGGTCGGAGAATTCAGTCGGACGAAATCATGGTCTCCTTCGATGTGACGTCGTTATTCACATCCATCCCACCAAACGTGGCCCGCGAAGTCTTACGGAAAAGACTTGAAGAGGCGTACGATGAGACTCAGAATGCCCTCAAAATTGAGCACCTCATGAGGCTGTTTGAATTCTGCCAACAGACTTTCTTCACTTTTGCGGGAGAGACCTATGAACAAATCAAGGGAACCCCAATGGGCTCACCGGTCTCCGGTTTGGTGGCAGAACTGGTCCTACAGGAGTTAGAAAAGATTGCCTTCCTCCAACATGAACCGGTGTTTTGGCGCCGTTACGTAGACGACACGTTCGTCATCATAAAGAAGGACATGCTGCAACATTTCCACAGCCTGCTCAACGCAGTCTCCCCTGATATAAGATTCACGAGGGAAAAAGAACAAGAACAGCAGTTGCCCTTCCTGGATGTGCTCGTCAGACGAAACCTTAACGGTGAACTTGAAACGACTGTTTATAGGAAGGCTACGAACACCACACAGCTTCTCAGTTTTCACAGCAACCATCCGGTGGCTCACAAACGAAGCTGTGTGAAGACGCTCTTCAAACGGATCCAAAGTCATTGCAGCAAACCGGAAGACAGAGCACGTGAGGCCCGTTATCTCCGCGACCAGTTTGTGCAAAATGGCTATCCGAGGGCATTCATAAGTCGCTGCCTACGCGGTCGCCATCAGAGAACTCGAACACCAACGCCACCGACGATATGGCATTCTCTGCCATACATCAAGGGTGTTTCAGAAGCGACCGAGCGCATTGCTGCGGGGCTAGGTGTTGGAATTGCCCACCGCCCCAAAGCCACCATGCGCAGTAGGGTCATGAAAATCAAAGACCGGTTAAAACCTGAAGAGCAATCTGGAGTAGTGTAGCCCATTCCGTGTCAAAATTGTCATTGTAAGTACACAGGACAGACTGGACGCATGCTCGGATCGCGCATGCACGAACATAAGCTGGCTGTGCGACGAGGCGACGCATTATCACAAGTAGCCGCCCACACCTACGAAATGGGTCACGAGTTTGACTTTGCAGCCACCAAAATAGTTGCCCACGCCGGAAGCAAAACAGGCCGAGAATTTATTGAAGCCTGGGCCTCGGATGAGAACTCGGTCAATCGATTTATCGATCTGGCGCCCGCGTACAGAGCCCATCGTAGTCACCTCCAGTCGTGTGACGTCGGTCGATGATTGGGCTTACGTGCCTTATAACTGTCGCCTATCCTGTTTCTGCCACTACCTCTGACGATGGGCTCCTGTACGAGTCTGAAAGCTCAGGATAATAAACGAAGTGTTCCGGTGCTCGACTCTTCTTCTTCACTTATTCATACACCTGGAACTCGAAATTTCGTCTTCATAACCTGTTGTTCTTTACTGTTGAACATCCGTCTGGAAGACAATATCAGCAATATTGGCAAGATAAATAAATGTTACTCAGGCCAGCAGCATGGACTAGAGTTCATATATTTGCAGACGGAACACAAGTCCGTTGTCACATACATTTTTAATTATGATCAAACAGGATTGGCGGCAAGAGCACGGTTTATGGCCGACGTACTTACACCGGGGGGAAATTGTGTTAAAAGAAAATGACTGGCGCCATTAATTTGCACGTGCCAGTGAAAAGAATAAAAGACCTCGCAGTGGCTGTTGCGTGGGGCTTGTCAAGGTGTTTTAAGCTACCCAGCGGAGTAAAAATACGACAATGCAATACCTGTTTTGCAATGCCTGCGAAGGGATTTTAAATTAATTTACTATTATCAATAAATGGCAAAAGCAGTGTCCCACTTTAGTTATGGCGGATCAAAATTTGTGATACCAAACAGTTCTTAGATGTTCGGCTCTTTTGCTCAACAAAATTGCTCCCCCGAGCAAACAATCCCCGCTATAAACCATACCGTTGCCGGATTGGCGATCGATGGCACGACCTGCCTGCTGGACGGGGAAGAAGCTCTGCGTTTATTTTGGGACCTCAAGACCAAAATCCTCACATGAAAACCAGCTCCCATTAATCGAGGACAGTTAAATAGTCAACACAAGGACAATGCAATGGTCACTTTTACTTGCCTAAATTAGTCAACAAGTCGACACTCACAAATCGCAGCAATGCAAAATTATTAAATGCGAAAACGCATAGGTACACAAGATCTCATATGCTCCTATGCTCATATATTACAGGACCACCCTATGTGAAGTCAAGAATAGGATAATTTACCCCGAGTCTTCGTACTTTTGATTCGTTTTCTACACTCTAGCAGACGTCAGTAGAGTTTGACTCACTAAACTTCGACGAGACTTAGATCGGTCACATTTGGGGGCCTTTGACATTTTAATGCTTCACAGGCTATCACAAGTTCCCATCATAGTTTGCCTGCACATTTAGGATGTAATCCATTGCATTCTGAACCCACTTCACTAGCTATCTGGTCAGATGTCACCTAAGTTAACAAAGAGAAACTTAATGCTGTCTTCCACAGCTAAACGGAGCCGAACTTTAATTTATGCGTTGTTGCCCCCGCAGAATTCACACACCGAGAGGAATTGTTTTACTTGTCGGTCCATGACGTCTGCGGGAAGCGTACAAACTTCCTGGGCAAAAACTGGATAGCGACTACCCTCTCAGTCCATTTTCACGTTCGGCGGGTTGTTTCTAACCCCGCCCTAACCACCGTCCTATTGAAACTGGACCGCATTATCTTACCCAAAATTCTTGACCAGTGCCGCAGCCTGCAGCCAAATTTGTGTTGAAATCCTATAGAACAGGCACGGCACCATAGACTGTCAGTTAAAGAAGGAGAAGGAAGGGGAAGGAGAAGGAGCTGGATCGTTCTCACAGAACCAATATTATAGTTGCAGTCTCCTAATCATCCCGGACAATTCCACTTGTCTCTGTTGTGTGGGCGGAAATGTCCATTCAGATCTGTTTGGACATCAAACTAACAGCTAATCAAACAATCAAATTGAACGTTTATTCTATTTCTGTGATATGCTTCTTTGTTCGGTGGCTAGCAGCTACCATCACTCGGTCTGCGACACCTCCACAGTCTGGCTACCCTTAGCTAAACCTCAAAGGATTCAACGATCATCATAATCGGTTACAAAGCCAAATGTCTGCCAATCGGCATGTGGAAATTGTTGATAATTATTGCTTATTCAAGTGGTCACCATTATAAAGATATCGAGAACAGCAAAACCGAAATTCCCTTTATTGACATTATTTGCACTTTAACGTTGCATTGCCATCTAACTACGACTATGAGGAGATTATTAAACGGAATCCATATCAGGGGACCCGCATTGCCGCCCAAGGCTTTTTCTAAATATGCCGTTTGCCTAGTACCACATGTGTTTCGGACATACGTGCATGTAAACTAGCATGACACTTGATGTTTGTAATTTAAAAGATTATTTTGTCCACGTTAAACTATTTAGTGTCAACAAATGGTTATTTTATTCGGAAAGCGGCAGGCTTTCCATTTTGAACTACTCTGCTATCGCTCTACAGCTGCATTCTGTACAAAATGTCCAATAAAATCCAATATTTGTTTGAGGATTAGCTGGTGGTAAACACTGAGGAAAAGCTCATCGTGCCATCGAGTGCGTGGCCAAAATAAACAGAGGAAAACTTAAAGAATACGTTAATATTTACAGTTGGTAGATAGCCTGATATTTAAAGACAGACGTAGACATACTCATTTAGGTCAAAGCGCCATTTTCAGGTTAAGGACAAAATATGTTTTTAAGGTAAAATCTGACCTTAACAACGCATCGATCGAGAGGTACATGGAAGCATTTCATTAACTGTCCTAGCGACGGTCTCTTTGGTTCCGAAGGCGTTTGGTAGTTTTCATACTCAATGGGGGCGTTCTCTGGAATTTACGCCTGCCACCTTAAGTGCCAGTAGCACCGCATGAATAAACGAGCAGGAGCTTATATGCGCAACAATTTCGGAACTCATAAGACGAATAAAGTTCATTCACGTTCTTTTCTTAGTCGCATAAACTGGACTCTAGTCATCGGGAGAAGGTAAAAATGCCACGTAAATGGCTACTGACAACGTATTAATAGCGTTTTACGTCGATGTTTTTAATATCAAATTTAAACTATACTGTTTCCAGAGGATGGTGATCAAGGAAGAAAAGTCATAGCTCCCAAATTTGAAGAAATTAAACTCTGTGCTCTTCGCAACTAGGAGCTAAACGTGTTAGAATCATGTTATCTTACCGGTGGAACGACAGATATTCGCTTTTCTTCTGTTATTCGGAAAACGCCACGCGACAAGAGTTGTCGAGGTGCCTTTACCCAAGACATTGTTTCTAATTCCTTTTAAAGTAAAAAAAAACAAATAAAACTGTCATTGTTTGAGAACAAAGCAATAGTGTCTGGTGAAAACACTGGTACGATGGACATTTTGCCCGTATTTTATCTCGAGACCCTGATAGCAAACATTATACAAAGGATTATGTGTTTAATGTAGAGACGTTTTGTTTGTGTGAGCGTTCAAATTTATGAATCTGCACACTTGACACGCTCTCGTCGTTATAATTCTGGTCACTCTCATTCAGACTACAAGCAGGCCATTTGCAAGACAAAGCAACTGTGACAGCTAGTTCACGCTGACCTTATATCTGAGTTTCCGAATCAAATTACCAAGTTTTAGCTTATACAGGCCATTCGTAGGTCAGTTTTTGGGTTGAATTCCATTTTTGTACAAATAATCTCTGATATGATCTGCAGAATACTTATAATGATTAAATAATGTACTCACAGACTTTAAAGCGCCCTAGACCTCAACTTTTGTACCCATTCATTATTGTTAAAGGACGCTGAATTTGCCTCCTATTTGGCTGCGCTGAGTTCTTGGGTGGAAACAACCACACCGGACTTAAACGTCGAGGTGTGAAAGCCTAGGTGATGGTTTAGAAAAGAAACTCTATCCTGACATTTAATCGTCTGCAGAAGGACGGTGGAAGAAATAAAGAAAACTACCCAGGTTTTGAAAATCAACGGGCCTTAAACCTGCATGTAGTTTCCAGCTGCATAGCTGTTTTCCACCGGGTTTCGTCGCGACCCATCTTTTAACTGGCGGTATTTCATTTATATGATCTTATCGATCTGGCTACAATGTCGACATTTGTCTCAGTATGAGATAAATGCAGCAACCAGCTACGTCGGCGGGGGTTGGCTTATTTTCTGCGTGTCAATAGCTCAACAGGACTTCCAAATATATAAAACCATTAAGTAGAGAAGGATTTGCACTTCGTTACTATTTCGTTATACTTTATGGTCATAAATTCAAATTTCCCATCAAAACCGGATCCACATTTAATAACTCCTATTCCCGCGATTTTATTTAGAGTTATTATGCTAACATCGGGCAAAGCTATAAAGTACCATAGGTATGCATTATGTTGTTCAAAATGAAATAACGAATATTGCAGTCGAGCATTTAAAAGGCATGCTTTACAACGACAGGTGCTGCTTTGGCAACGTTTGTTGTGCTGATTTGAAAGCCCTTTTACTAAGAAATTTAAAGAAAATCATTCCTGTCACAGGCTGCTTTTCACTCTTAGAAGTAATGAACTGATCAAATGCGACAAGTACTGATGTTCATCCTTAAAAGTTTCCATTCCGGGAGCACAAATCAAAGTGTTGGCAAAGTTGATAATTAGCTATGGACATAAAAAATTAAAAGTCGTGCCGTAAAATTACTCTAAAAAATAACGCTTTGTGCTCGATCAATTGGTATCTTTCGGCAGAAGAAAGCCCTATCTGTCTGCGCATCCTGACTACAAGGTGGTCAGTTGCAGCCCACATTGTCCGTTTGCTGTTAACGGCATTTGTGTGTAACAGCTCCCCTGTATATGTAAAAAGAA